AAGCAGGAGTGATCATGCGTCGGTTTATCCGCCATTTTTCAACTGTAATCATTTTAAATTATATTGAATTGTAATTAAATTACATTAAAAACCTTCTCATATCTGATAATAAGAACGACTTTTATTTATAGTTTGAAGAAATGCAAATAATTTAAACTTTTGAATTTAACTTACCGGGTGCAGTAAACAAACCTTCACCCACGATATTCTTCAAAAAATCGTACATATGGTCTTTTTGAAGAGTTTTTGAATTATTAAAGACAATCTGAAAAATGAAAACAATAAAAATAAAAACAACTATTTTTTTTTTTAAATTATTAAATTTTAGAAAAGAATATTTTATCAAAAATGAATCAAACTAATGTTTAGATTTTTTCTTATTATTATTAAAATTCAAAATTGTTTTGATTAAAACTGTAAAAAAATGAAAAGTCAAAAAGTTTAATTTGAACGCTGTAATACTTAAGTATAATTTTCTATATAACGATTAAGCTTACCGAAAATTAATGGTTTAACTAATCTAACAATTTAATTTAAATAGCATTACACCAATATTTCATGTTTATTATTTAAAAAAAGTTATTACTTGTAAGTCTTCTGGTTTAGCGATGACAACTGCAAAATATGGTCCTAACCATGCTCTAAAAGGCTCTAGATTATATATTTTCGAATTATCAATTATTTTGCTCATGATTTCTGAATAACATCAAAAAATAAAAATATGTAAAAAATTTAATATGTTTCAATACATTATTATTTTCATTACGTTCTGATGATCCAATAAATTGATATCCTGTTCCTATGATCGGGTACGCTGGAGGTCCCGGTATTCTAGCTGCCAATTTTTCAAAGTGTCTGCTATTCCATTTAAAGTAACACCACAACACCACAAGAATAACAATATTTAGATACACGATTATTTCAATCATTTTCAATTTAAAATTGAAATCCACTGACTGACTGTATTAAATGACAAATTTAGTATAAAAACATTCAATACATCTATATTATATTGTCTGCGTCAATATATTATATTTAATCTTAATTACAAACATTCAATCCAAATTTAAAACGAAAATTACCTCTTTACGGTTATTATATTAATACTATCAAATTATATTTTTAAGCTATTATTTATTATACTTAGCTAAGTAATAAATTAATCGAATAGTTTTTCGCTACTTTTTATTGTATTTATACACCTACGTTAAATCTACTCAATAACTTAATGCAGTAAAAATAACTAATGATTTTTATTTACTGACATTCCCTTCTTATATGTATCTAGAGGCATTATTTAATCATAATCAAACCGTTACGTTACAATGCATCAATACTTTGTAGTAGGAATTGATATGCATAGAATGTTCAATACATTCATGCATTTGGAATACACTAGTTCCTGATATAGTGACATCAATTACATTTATCATTTATATTGCATTAACATGTTATATCATTCAAATTCAATCCCACTTGGTATAAATTGAAATCCTACTTACCTTGGTATACTATTTAAGTTTGTGCGAACATTCTATGGTGTAATTTCTTACTGTAGTACGAGTATATCCATAATTGTTGTATAAAGGGGGAGGAAAGTAAATTCAAGCCTAGGTAGGCACCTGCACATTAAAAAAAAAAATAATAACAAAATACAGATAATATAACATTTTACTTTCAAAACCGCAAACAATTGAGTCAACAGCGTCATTTGGCGAATGATTATGCTTACTTTAAATTTATCAAGATTATATTTTGACCTGGTTATGATGCAACTCAAAATGTGCAGAACAGCATGKTCGGAATATAAATCACGGACACACTAGCCCACAATAGCTATGACATTATGTTAATGTGTTATTAAATTAATTAAATTAAAATAAAAACGTTTATTTAAATATTTTAAGTGCAATTACTGCAATTGATTATTTCAGAATTTGTTTTATATATACACTATTTATGTAATTATTACATACATTTAGAACTCCAGGCGATCTCCGCGAGTTCTCTCAGTAGGGCTCACTATTTTGAAAAAAAAAATATACATGATGTTTTAGACACAATAATGTCCATAAATATTAAAATTTAACTTTAAATGATTTAAGTAGGGCTTGTTGTTTGTATATAAATCCCCTTAAAAATACCAAAAGATTCCCTTTCAAAAATTCAGTTATGACCTAAAAACTATAAAAAAAAAATACTAAAAAATATATGATTTTAAATAAATTCAAAATACTTAAAAAAAAAAAAAAATATCTATATAGTTCAAAATTATATTTTTATAAAAACATTTGCGAAATATATGACATGTGAAATACACCGGCAGTGATTTCAATGTATACGCAACAGGTCTAAAAGCGTCTGATGACAGCGATGACAATCGGTCACACACACCATCGATCTATTGTAATCATTCAATAATAAAAATATGTTGTTTGTTGTATTCAATCAAATCAGCTGATTAGATGGTTTGACATAAAGATAAATTTCAGACCTTGAGTAATTTAAAACCGGATTACCAGATATTAAGTTCAAAATGAAAATAATTTATATTATGTATATCACTATGACTACTCAACGAAGTCAAAAATACTCTAAAAAATATCAAATTCGCTGACAAGCAAAATATACACCCAAAAAATTTTGTGGTCAGAACAAAAGGAATACTTGAAATGCATTTGTAGCTTAGAAAGCATCATATAAGAATTGTAAAATTTTCCAAAAAAAAGAAATGAAAATACATTGAAATCCAAACCCTAAATGTAAGTAATGATTTAGTATTATTTAGTTTACTATATTCATAATTATATATAGATTATTATAGTATTTTTATTTGCTGAACATTTTTTTTGAATTTCCAAATAAGTCAGCATGTCATTTAAAAAATAGGAAAGACGCCCCTCGCCCCTGAATTAAACAATAATCCCTTGTACAAAATTTAATTTTGAAATCTATACGATCCAATCAATTAAGTTTAAATAATACGTCTATAGAGCTGCAAAACATTAACAACCCTCTAAATTTTTCTAATATCCCTAAAACAATATTTAAGATCTTCATGAATATAATTCGATTAGTGTAATGTTCCTATATATAAGCTACAAATATACATTTGGTCTTAAGTTATAGATTCTTATAAGTAAGCGTAACTATTTGATGTATAATTTTTCTTCGTGTGCTCGACCTCTAACCAAAGGCAACGATTACATACAAAAAAAAAAACTCATGTCTACTGTCATTATTATAATCTACATCCAATGTCGTCAACCATTGTCCATTTATAATCATACAAAATTTTAATTTCTACAGTGAATCTCAAAATCGTTCTTTGAGGACCTCTTTAAAATGCAAATTTTGGAAATCCTTTCTTAGCAGTTATACTAAAATAATTAAACTACAAATAAAATTTCGTATTAATTGTTTCATTGATTCAGCTTTACATATGTATGTACTTTCTTTCCTATTTCATTTACATTAAGCTTTATATATTAAATTGACATAAAAAATAATAATTTTATACGTGTTATTCTTAACCACCGGCCGCGTGGACATTCAGATGTACCATGTACCTATTGTACCTATATGTAAATCGTAAATAATCGATATTTTTGGAATATACATCTAATAAAATAGTTCTTACATAAAAATATATAAAACCATAATTATTGATTATTGTAGAACTGAATATTATTTAAAAAAAATAAAAACAACTCGTATATTATTATGTAAAATCTATCTAAAACATCTATTCAAAAAACACTTCACTATACAGTTATTTGGAAAAACTAATTTTTACGGTTGTTTGATTTTAATTTTTTTTTTGGAAGGTTGAAATTAGAAAAATACATCAAAACATTATTTGTATTTTGCATAGGTACAAATAGTTTAAAACATAATAATTTATTATAGTATTGTTGGTAAAATAATCATTGAAAATCAACGGTATTATTCGTATATTTGAATTTGTAAAATATTCATATATAAGAAATTCTTTCATTGGTCACAAATAGTCAAATTTCCAACCTACGAATTGAAAAAAAATCGATTATTTTATTTAAATTTTTATTTATACACATTTTTATATTTTCTTTAATCTCCTCAAAATATATTATTATATTACTTAAAATGTATCTTCATTATATATTTTTAATTCATCACTAAATTCAATCATCCCAACCCATTAATTTCCAACTAAACCTCTGCTACTATGCTCGACAATCTTCTCTGTCGTCATAAATGAAATTAGCATGGGAAGTAAGATTTACTTTCTTAACTAGCCATCTAATAAAATGAATTAAACAAAATGTAAAGAATTATTATTGAAGTAATGTCAATGGATGCCTCCTTCTATCTTGCCACAACATCAGAACACCTAGTGCATAAGATTTAAAATTTACTTATTGTATCATTTTTATACAAATTGTAAATGTTTTATTTTCTAGTAAAAAAACATAATAATAATAACAATACATTATTGAGTAGGGATCCACTAACAGTACATATTTTATTTGAGAAAACTAGTTTTAGATTTAATTTCAACAACATCAACAGCAGCTAAACCACAATTATCATTATTCATGAAGTATATTATATGTCAATAACTAGAATAAAATAAATACAACGTTTTGATGAGAAAAAAATATGTGATATTACGAAGTACAATTTATATTTTTAGTATTAATCGTGCGTTGGAATGTGTATTTAGTTATTATAAGGAAAAACATACATTCTTTTATATTATGCGTATTTTTAATTAGTTCAATAATTAATAAATATAAATATATATATATATATATATATATGTATGTATATATTATCTTCTGTGTAAATCATAGAGCTTGAATAATATATTATTATATATAATACTAAATTAATAGTAAATGTAACAGCATATTCACTGAATAACACGTTGCGAGGTTGCGACATGTTGTATTATACAATATGTATAATACATGTGTCTTATACTGCCGTTATGAAAAGTATATAAATATATATATATATATCCCCGGGAACTCACCGTCTGGATAAAAATCAGTCTTTTGTTATTTTATCTATTAACTAAAAAATGTATTAAAAGTTGTGTGATTAATGTTGAAAGGTCGAAATTTTCAGCAAAATAAACTATAAAATGGGATCTTTGTTTTTTTTTTCAAAAATTAAAAATTAAAAAATATATTTTCTATCCCTTGTCTATGTGAGTCTAATAAAGAAACAGATTTATGATATATTTATTATCTCAGGAGATATTGCATTGTGTAAATCCTCGCAGGACACCTGTATAATATTATATAAACAATAAGTTTGAGAGTAGAAAAAATTGTAGGTAGGAAAAATAGTAGGTGATATGCAWACGGTAAACCACTTTTACAAGCTTATTACATCAAACTTTTTGTATAAGTAATATGGAATATTGATGAACTTAATAAAACCAGCCATTATAAACTCCAGTTCGGCCACTATATATTGGTAAATGTTAATAGTATTCATATGTAGATACGTTGGATTATTTGGATTGTGTCATTTTGACTTAAGTGTGGYGTTATAAGTTCTGCAAACTCCATTGCAGATATTTTAAAAATAGTCTTATTATTTCATTATCTACAGGTTAGGTTTTGGTTAATTGCTATTAATAAGGCATGTTTTGTATTAATCACGCGTACGTGATTATGTAAATGCATGTTACTCAGAAGGCAATCAATCACAAGCCTTCCAATATAAATTGGATTATTATTGAAATAAAACACTCATATATTATTTCGTAATTATAAACACATTTCTTCCCCGTTGAACAATAAAAATCCAACAATTCCGTAACAACGACGTAAGAACCCTCATTTTTTAAATTTTAATCATTAAGTAATTTTTTTTTTTATGTATCTAAATCAAAATTCGAGCTAGTAGTTTTAAATGTATATAACTTTGTCTATTATGGTTAGTATACCTATTACTATTATGTATATGTTAATGGGTTAAATAGATATGAGGGCTTAGATAATTTGAAAATGTTACTAATGAATAAGTAATGACTATTGATTTATCAATATAAATCATTTTTAAAAATTATATATTTTATTAAATTAAACACCACAAACAATTTTACGTTTATTTTATATTTATATTATACCACATTTAAGAATATTATTATCCTTAAACATTTTAATAACTCAAATACTGCTCATTAATACTTTGATTTATACACATCAACATTTTCAAGAAAATCAGTCATTAAATAATTTACAGTAAAAATAAGTGCGTTTTAATTTGAAAAATAAGTTTGAATCGTCACAGGATAATCCTTAAGTGGTACAAAATATATCAAGAAGATAAAAATATGGACTTTAGGTTTACTTAAAAGTCCTAAAAATCAAAATTTAATAGGGTAAACATTTTTAAAACTATACTGAACTTACAAATTGTGTTTTATAATAATATAATATAGCATGTAAATAACATATCAAAATACACATAACATTATGTGTAGGCCTCAAATGCTTATGAAATTGCATTTTTTTTCTATTTTTCGTATTTAATGCTTACCTGGATACAAATGTAATTCATGTTCTACCGAATCAAATAATACTACCTACTTTTATTTTGTATATGTTTACATAATTAATGGTTTTGTATTTTAATTGCATACTTTGTGATTTAAAAACAAAAATGCATATTTTTCAGTACATTTAAAAAAAAACAATTTAAATGATCGAACTAGGTATACAATTAATTCCACAATAATTTGTATACATAAGTTTTACAATCAAATTCGTTAAAGGCACTTTATTCGAAAATGGTGCATGTCACAATTGTCATTTTATTWAAAAAAAAACTATAGTAGCACTTCAGCACTACAATGTAACACTAATGATGTAATGCATATAGTAATGTAATCTAAAGTAAATAAAATGCTATGACAGTTTAAAAAATGTATTTTAAATTGTATTAAATAAAATAAAATATTTATATTTTATGAATTATAATAATTTTTTATATTATTTATTAATATATTTTATAATTTTTAGCACAACTTTGATTGCATATTTCGTAATTTTTTAGTGAATAAATGAATACATATATATTATGTAGGACATAGCTATATGTAATATAAGAATGCAAATGGTATTGAACAATTTATGTACCTAGTTAAGCTTTAATCAATTCTAAATTCTAAAGATTTTTAATAGTTATTTGAACATTTAGTATTTTTTTTTGTATAACATTTATTGAGTTTTTTGGGTATGAATATCAGAATATATAATTAACAAATTAAGTATTAACTATTGACTATAATATTTTAATAATATGAAGAATAAAAAATCTATATAAAATTTTTTCAATATTTTCAGAATGATTGAAAATTTACAGCACTACTTATAACGTTATAAGTTAATTGTCTGCGACTAGGTTACTCTCAGGTACTAGTTTTAACTTTTAATATTAAATTAAAGTTTTAAATGATTAAGATGAAAAGAAATACAAAATTACACTGACATGATTATTTTTTATTTATTTAATATTTAGTTTGATAAAATGTAAAAAATTGGAAAATATTACAACAGTAAATTTAAAATATCAATAAACTATATTATGGTGATTCAAAATCAAATACAGATGTAGAAATCAAAAGTAAACTATTATGAAAAAAATGTTTTTAATTGTTTTGATTAATTTGAACATTTTTTTTTAATAAGGCATATAATTATGTTAGTTTAAATRTTTAATACAAAAATTAAACWTACAAAACACATTACTTATAGCAGCGTATTACCCTTTAAAACCATGTAGTATTACTGGTTTTGTATTGTTGTATTTAACAATAAACATCAWACACTAATAGGTATTAATAATAATATTATAATTATAATATAAATGATATCCAACACAAAAATGTTCAAAAAATATGAGTCATCATATTAACCAACAATTGCGCGCATTTTCCTTACCCATTCTGATTTTACTTATGCTCGTATATTGGTCTTCTATCTCTTGGTCGAATTGTAACTGGATAACCGTGAACACTTCTCATCATCAAACCTAATTTTAACTTGATATCTGTTAATTTCATATCTGAATGTACGCTAAAATTTCGTAAAAACGTTGACACAGTAACTTTCATCGACCACATAGCATATTTGGATCCTATAGTTTAAATTTAAATACAATATAGTATTAGAATATATTGGTGGACTATACAAACATGATGATTTTTCAAATTATTATTTTACCTATGCAACCTCTTGGACCACCACTAAAAGCAATGAAGCTATATCTATGACGTTTAGCAACATTTTCTGGGCTAAAGTTTTCAGGATTAAATAACCAAGGATTTGGGTACAAATCAGGATTATAATGTGTGGCTATTGGACATAAAACACAGATTGTACCTTTTGGCAGTACGTAATCACTTGAAACTTAAATAAATTTAATTAAATATTATTTTATACACAGATAAAACATTTTTAAATTCACTCACATATTTTAAGATCCTCTTGAATTTCTCTAAGTAATAATGGTCCTACAAGGTACATTCGAAGAGTTTCTTTTATCACTTGTTCTAAATACACGAGTTTTGTAGTGTCTTCCATAGTTATAGTTTGGTCACCTTCACCAAATATATTGTAAATTTCATCATATACTTTATCCTAAAATRTAAATAAATTTTACCAACAAAATAGGTAGTAATAAGTACATAATACATTATTTTAATTAAATTTCCATATTTTTTTATGTGTTTAATATAATGTAGTATAAACAGGTTATTGTAAACATTTAATGTTTAAAACTGTCAAATCTACTTCAATAAAGTCGAAACTCAAACTAAAAATACTTTTATACAAAACCGTTATTAGACCACTATGGTCCTATGGTATTCAAATTTGGGCCCAGCCAAACACCTTCAAACATCCACCCCATCCAGTCATTTCAAAACATAACCCTTCGTATGATCACTGGTCACTGGTGCTCCTTGGTATGTAACGAATCAATCTTTACATAACGACTTACAAATTGAAACAGTGAATATACTGTCAAAACGCCATTATAAATCCTACTACATAAAATTGCCATAGAATATTAACCCCTTAACTCAAAAAATGTCCTCAAATCTTATCCCTGACCAGCCTCCACGCAGACTAAAAAGAAACTTGAATCGCGACCTACTACTCTAAAAAAAAAACAACAAACATAGAGCCAAACAATCTCCCTACTGCATCTATATAATTAAAATAATTAAGAAATTATACAAGGGCTATTACCGGTGGTCTTCCCCTATCATGTGATTCACGCTATGGTCATATTATAATTGTTATCGTAATGACTTATTGTACAAATTTATGTGTATAGATTGTCTTTTGTTTCTATTTTCAATAAAAAAAAAAGAATCTACTTCAAGAATATTCCGTATTTATATTGTATGCTTGTTAATATATATCATGTTATATATATAAGTACATACTTGGATATCTTGATGTATGGCTAACATCAAAAGACAAAAACAGATTACAATAGCACTGGTATCACTACCCTGTAATAAAATGTGTATTATTTTTATTTTATTAAAAATACGTTTCATACAAGAAGATAATACAAAAATTAAAATGACAAATATTTACCGCATACATCATAGTTACAACTTCACTTTCAATATCGGAGTTTGAATAGTTTTCATCTTCATCGTTCAGTTTGAACAATATGTCCAAAAGAATTTTTGATTGGTTTTCTAAACAATAACACTTTTTATTCAGAACTATATAGTAAATTCGTTTTTGTTATTTAGATTTTAATATCGTTCTGAAAAAATGTGTTAAACAATGATGATTTTAAATTCACAGTCCCGAGTAACTCACCATCGTCATTGTTGATAACATCTTTTTTAACATTAATAACTCTTTTTCTTTGGTCTGCAAATTCATCTTTTTTTTCCTTTACCACCTAAATGACAAATATTCTAGTATGAATTCATTAAAAGGTAATAAACTTAAAATAAGTAGTATGTTAGAATAAAAATGAGAAAATCGAACACAGTGAGAAATTCTCGAAAAATTTGCACGATGCTCTTTGGCCTATACATATATATTTAATTAAAATCAAAATTATCTAAAATTGTCCGGATAATATTCTRAATCTTAAACATTTCCGTAAATTAAACAAAATAAACTGCTAAAAAAGTTTATAAATGATTGCTAGTCTTAATTCCTGTAGTACTTAGTTTTGAAGTATTGTCAATTAAACTAGTATTTGATTGTGATTATCAATTTGATAAATATATTTCAAGAGATCAATGATTTACTATGAAAAAATAAATACTTATTTTCATTTATTTACTATTATTCGCTCGTTGGTACTTTTGTTTTAAACTCATATTTTTGTGTTTCATCTGTAAATTTAAAATGACTGGCCAAAAAAGTGTTTTTACAAGAATAATAAAATATTATTACTGAATAAAGATATGAACAATTTAAATCTATCAAAAAATAAATATTATAAAATAATTTTGAATATAAAG